AATGGCAATGAGATACATGAGCAAGTATTTTGTTTCGATGCTGTTAGTTGAGGGATCAACATTGACCCCTTTTGTTGTTTAAATGGCAAAATTCCACAACCTTTGGGTGGCACGTATGCTTTCTTCCCAGCCTGATATTAGCTGTATTGGTCTGATTAAAATATTCTAGTTTCAAGGCTAGTCATTAAACAATCTTTACGTAGCGACACGCTGTGAAGAATGTGGATCAGTTACTTCACTAACTATGTTTGCCTCAATACATCAATGGAACCGATCCAACAGCATGGCATCTTGCTAGTTCTCCCTCAGTTTTTATGAATGCTGCCATTAATGGAGACTATGGAGAAGTAGGTGACCTGGCTTGCCACCAGAGTATGGACTCCACAAAGCAAAATAATGTTTCTTTGGTTTAAAAAAAAGACCTATCAGCACAATGCAAGTCCATTAGGATAGTGGTGATGGATGCGAGGAACTTGATATGGTTTAGGATGCAGACAGCAGCATATTCGATAAGTTGAAGTTTGCATACTGTTATAGATGGTAAGCTACTCAGGGGGGCACTGAAATAGTCTGGCATTGAGTTTCCACCAGCCACCAGCACCATGACAGATTGTCTTCGCATTCACCTGATTTGCTGCTTTGTGTGGGAATTTCCAGTTTGCAAATTGGCTGTTATATTTGCTGCCATGTTGACATTCATCCTTTTGTCTCAAAAGCAAAGTATTTTCGGCTCACCTGACTGCAGGACAAAGGTTAATCCTTACTAATGACCCTACTATAACCTTGCAGTTGTAATTATAATCACACATTTCTGGGTCACCTGTAGACAGAATGGTAATCTCATCATTTCAGCTTCACAAGATGTTAAGAAGAATGTTATTAAACTGACATTCTTGAAATTTCAGCCTTTTGTGATATCTGTAGAAACAACCAATTTAAAATGGCTCTCCATTGTAACGGTGTATAGCACTGCCCAGCATCATCTTGATGTTTTATGCTAGTAGTGAGAGTTTGTACAGGAATGAGATTATATTTTAGATTTCTAAAAAAAATACCGTGCTGTCGACAAAGGAACCAGTGCCATGATGTGATATGAATGTTGAGTTGGCTGGGAGCTGAAGAGTTCAGGATGTTTGCCAGTGTTTCTGCATCTCCATCAGGCCTCGTGCAGAGCAGCCTTGGTGTCCCAGCTGTGAATGAGTTTGCAGTTTCACTTTCCTAGTTGGGAGTTGCCATTGCTTCTAGTACTTTCAGACGAGAATTCTTTCCCAATGAAACCATTGTTTTAAAAGCTGAATTGTTCATACATTAATAAGTGATCAGAATGTATTGATGTCCCAGATTTGTGCTGAAAACAACGGGACTTGCTCATTTATGCACACCACCCCCCCAAAAAAAAACCCCACCTTCTCTTGATATGTTTGGCGCCAAGTTCCCTGGTGTCAGGAACCTTTCAATACCTTGTCCTAACTCCCAATGCAAATTTTTAACCCTGCACTAAGTGAAGGGGATTTGGGAAGAGGGAGGTCCTGCCCTCTCCTTTCCCGATACTGTGGAACGTTCGTGGAGAGGTGATTAAACAGTGACGGCGATGACTTTTTGTTGGGAGCACCCCTCACCCGAAAATAAAAAGAATCAGACGTGGAGTTTGTGGGGTTGGTTGCTGTTTCTCAAAGCCACTCATTCTTCGTGTATTTGGAGATTCAGACTTGGTGTGATTCAGCTCTGTAGGTGGGGACATCATAGCATTCTAGGCAATCTGTCAAACTTGTGTGGCCAAGACCCAGCACTGTTTTCAAATCTTCTCTATTGAGCATTTATTGGACAGGAGTGTGTGTGGGAAAGAGAAACCATCATTCTCCAACACCGCCCCCCCCTCCCCGATTAAGGGCTTTAGCGTTAAATCACGCTGTGAGGAATCATTTGGAAAGAGTTCTTTGCCAGCCTGACAGGATTAATTATGCTCAGTCCTGTGGCTGTCAGCTTGCACAAACCACCTCCCTCCCCATTGGGGGAACTGTCTGCCTAGTGTTGGATTCTGTCTGAAATGTGAAAGCAATGAAAGGTTGTGTTTGGCCTTGCAGAATCTGACAAGGACGAGGGCCAAGCGGATGCTGAACAAGCAGAAATCATCGTCGTGCCAAAGCTGATAACATCAGGCCTGAGCTCACTGGCCAATTACAGCAGCTCATCAGACAGTGAAGACAACCAGGGACCAGAGGGTAAATCTTAAAAAAATTCACTTTTCTTCTCCTTTTAGATGAAAACTCCAGCATCAGTGTTTGTCTTTAAGACCTGTCATCACGTGAAATTAAACTGAGAGATTTAAGAGTGGAATGAACGATGTGGTTTCATTAATCTTAAATCCGTAATCATAGTGTCAGATGAAATTAGCACAGTGTTCTTTCACTTTCTGACCTGGTTCTTGATCTAGTTCAGGCTGATGAAAACCTGATGGTTATGTGTGGAGGTTACTATTGCTGCTGCCTTGAACAGTGACTTTACTTGTTCTTTGTCTTTGATAAACTACAAGCTTCACATGGACATCTCTTGGTTAAGGACATTTTCTTCTGTGTGCTTCAAGTTTTGACTTTTGTGACGTGTTAAACATAGTCCAATTGTTACAGAAAAACCACATCAGCTGGCTTAGACTTGCTTGTGGTTGCCTCTCACCATTTGATTCCTGTTTATAACTAGGTTCCTTGCTAAATAGTCACAGTGCAAATGTCTTTATGATCTGTGTAGAAGACGACGCTGAACATTGGTTGAGGCCTAGTGAATAGAGAAATCTGCTATTTAAGCACATAATATTGGTTTAACTAAAGACTACACTGGATATACATTCTTCTTGGCTTCTGAGTACAGTAATTGTCAAACTATGGCTCTTGTTGGTCTCAACTTTTCAGCTTTACTCAGTCTAAGATGGCAATAAAATTGCATACTGAGTTTTACACAATCAAAATGCAACATTAATACTTAGAGTATAATATTTGCATATTTCTGTTAGAAATCCCCTTCCAGACTGTTGCCAAAGCTCTGGAGGAAAGCAGTGTGCTGGGATCTGCAGCAAGAAGTTCAAATGAGCAGGAGATTAAAGAATGTTCAAGCAGCATCAGAGATTCAGAAACACATTGCCAGTTCATTCCCAGGGGTAGAAGAAGAGGTCATAATAGACGAGGAAGGGGAACTTCACAGCAGTCATTAATACGTCGGCCAACCCTGCTTGAAATGGTGAGGTCTTTACTCTGCTTTCGAACACTCCTGCTTTGTGATATGTGGTGGATCTGTTTAAAAAACACACGTTGTTTGTCATTTTATCAAAGTCACATGCTGGATGAAAATGTTAAGAGCTCATAAAATGAATATAAAAGTACGACAATGTAAATTGGTCATTTTGGAGATTTTCTTTCACCCCCCACTCCCATTATATTTTCTCTCTCTCTCCCATCTTCTGGTATTGCTGATTTTTCTCCAACACTGTCAATCCAAACAGTTATTGAGTTAAGGGTCACTTTACTGCTGCCTTTCCTGAAGAGAGTTGGCTTGTTACAGACTAGCGTCAAAGTGCTCGATCTGTTATCTCAGCTTTACCCCTTGAGCGGTTGGTTTGTGACTAGCTGTAAACAACTTTGTAGAAAGTCCCTTTGCATTGTCCTTCACCGAGGGAGGGAGTTCCAGAATTTTGACCCAGTGACAGTGGGTCCACCTACTGCACATGGACTGCAATGATTCATGAAGGCAGTTCACCACCAGCTTCTCGGGGACACCTGGGGACGGGCGATAAATGCTTGACAACCAGTGACACCCATGTCCCCCGAGTGAACAAAAAGAAATTAGCAGTTAAGGATGGTCAGTAAGATGGGAGGAGCATTGAGTTGCAGGAGGTCGCACGGTGGAGGGCGACAGAAATTTGGCCTGAATTATCTCATGAAGGGCATGTTGAGCTGTTTGCTGCTGTGTTGGTGCTGTGCACTATTCAATCATGATGATGAGGTATATTCATATTTGGGTACACATCTGCAGTCCTAAGCGTCTCCTTTCTTTAGCCCATGCTGCATGACTTGACCTATAGGTGTAGGGAGTCTGGGAGACTGTTTGTCCTTGAGGTTTGTATTCAAAAAGAAAAACACATTCACTATTTCACTCAGAAATGTCCCGATTTAATGAGAGAAGCTGGAGGGAAGCTTAATAAGGTGCATGGTTCAAAACATCTTTTGATCCAAGCCTGTTTAATATTGGGCCACTCAGTTGGGTCTAACATTGCACAGAAAGCATTTCATTCTTCCTAAAACTTCAAAACAAAATTTCTTATGGACAGGACATAAAATGTAAGCTGCTTATCTGTAGGAACCAGTTTTGCATCCACCTGAGACTGACCGGTCAATGTCATTATCCCAGATCAAATGAGCTTTACAACTGTTGACTCAGTGGATATAAGTCATAGAGTCATATGGCACAAAAACAGACCCTTCAGTCCAACCAGTCCGTGCTGACCATGATCCCAAACTAATAATCCCATTTTGCAGTACGAAATGGTTTATAATTTGCCACGGTTAACTACAATTTACCAGCTTACCCAGTCGGCAACCATGATAGCTAACTGGAAAATTTACACTAACTGTGTAATGTCAGCTTTGTTCCTGGGGGGAAGAAGTGAGTGAGCTTTGTATTGATTCCCAATGCCTGATGATGGGTGCTGAAATTGGTGTGTTCTTCAATCATAACACCTTGCACACTGATCACAGTCACCTTTTAAATATTAAAATGTGGGGGCAGTGGGATGAAATTTTTCTCAAAATAAAACTCATTACAAGGTCCAAGAGAAATACCATAAACTTGAGCAGTTTGGAGACTGATCATTTCTCTAACTCTTTAGCATGTATTTTTAAAATGGTGTCTTTACAGATTTCTGTAGACTTGCAATCTTTGTTTCCTGTTTTTGCAGTTGCTGGCTCCTGACATACGACACGAAAGAAATGTGATTTTGCAGTGTGTTCGGTACATTGTAGAAAACAAGTTTTTAGGCCTTGAGTCAAAGGTTAACGGTGTGGCAAAGACCCCTGTCTCGATCAGTTCATGTGAAGGTGCAGTGCAAAAGCACATACCCGCAGGATATACTGAAACACATGGACTCCAGGTACATGCACCCGAATTCGAGGATCATTCTGCTGAGATCCCTAAAGCTGAAGAGGGTGGTGAGGAGCCCATCCCTAAAGCTGAAGAGGGTGGTGAGGAGCCCATCCCTAAAGCTGAAGAGGGTGGTGAAGACCCTGAGATTTTCCCAGCAAATACGAAATCAGCTTATATGGACCAAGTGAGATTGTCTGCTGTGGATGATGAAGTTTGGGAGATGCCAGACACTGAGAGTGAAAGGTGATTTAAGCAGAACTTGGATGTTTACCACATGGACTGGGTAAAGATTCCCGACGCAAATGAGATGACTATACAGATTTCTGTAGACTTGCAATGTTTACTTCTAATAAATTAAACAGTTTAATTTTGCTTTGCTATCAGCAGTTTTCAGATTATTTGCAAAATTCTAAACATGCATAAAATGTTTTAAATAACTAAGAAATTGTTGGCATTTGCATACAACTGCCAAATTATTAATTGAATTTTCTGAACAAGATCTTGTGGTCATCGTATTAAATGTTCATTTTCTGAAAGTGAGATGTTAAACATTTACTCTGGTCAATCCCCTCCGTTCCTGCCAATGGCTCCACAGTTTCATGTCCTGTGTCAAAAAGCTTAATGAGATAGCTGACCCCAACCATTCCTAAAAAAAAATAAATTTGGGCGATTAAACTTGCAGAATGGTTAGGGAAAGCCCGGTTTGAATGAAGTCCCGGTATCGTTAAGGGCTCTTTGTCCATACCTCCCACCTTGTCACTTGTGATGTAAAACAGTTTAAAAGAAGCCTATGAGACAGTGTGAACAGTGGCAGAGTTTGGTTTCAAACAGTAGAAGCTTCCCTTTTTCCCTACAGCTGAAGTGAAATGTTTGCTGTTCTATACAGGGCAAGTGTTTTCAGGCCTTGGGCCTTTTGGAAATCCTCAGCAGGTCAGATAGCATTTGCGGAGAGAGAAATTGAACATCACTAAAACATTGTCCTAAAACTCTTCCTCTTTCCACAGATGGCGTCTGACTTGCTGAATATTCCCAACATCATCTGTTTCCATTTCAGATTTCCAGCATAAACTGTGTTTTGCTTTTGCCCCCTTCATGTCCACTTTCCACAGGCTACGTCCTGGTGAGAAGGCCCATCAACACACATCATCAGATCTTTCTATGTTAGAATTTGCATCTCCGCCCTACCCCCTCCACCACCACCACCACCACCTCAGCTAGAAAGAGTGGGAGCAGCATTGAAGTGAAGTAATATGTGCAATCATTGTGGAGAGTGCCCACAAATGGAGAATGTGCACCTGCCCTTGTGTCAACGTATTCAAAACTAGCTATTCGTTCTCATAGCCATAACTGTGTTCTGCAACAGTTCAGGAATCACAAAAATACGCCAATGACATGGTTAGATTCTAAATGTAAAAACAGAACCAAGGTTTGCAGCTTTGTGAAATGTGAGATGGGGAGCACGTGTGATTTTTTTTTTTTTTACTGAAGACAGACATAAGCCATTATCCTGCGTGACTTAATGCTGAGAGAGCCTGGGACATGTGGGTTTTGAAAAAAGCACATTTGGTTGTTGATTTTTGGATTGACTGTGATGTTTGAGTGGCATTGATTGGGATCAGTGTCCAGCGTGGATTGGAGAGATCACAAGGAACAGCTGTGGAGTCTTGAGTGCAGTATCTGCATTTTTCATTTCAATTACTTGGTGCAGGAAACAAGCTGGAGGGGATCCTGCACAATTTACTGTGGCTCTACCTGAGAATTCCCACTGCACTTTTTTATTTTGCGCCATCGGGTCAGATTCAGCACCTAACATAACCTACTTTAAATTTGTCTAGTATGTTTAATCTTGGGACCCAGCTGTGACTGGTAATAGCCATTGTGCAGTTCTTCAACAGTATTCCAAATGGAATAGAACACAGAACTTTCCCTGAGGTCTTCAAATGTGAACAAGCAGTGCCTCCTGCTCGGAAAGTATATGCATTGGTAGATGTTGTAATTATCAACGTATGGATTATTAATCTAAAGGGACAGAACATTCAGCGTACTGTGTGCAGGAGAGACTTGCGGACTAACTGGGGGAGACCAGACAGAAGATGATCCAATGGTCATCTTTCACTAGACTCGTTAAGACCCTGCAATTCGTTCAAAATTTTGCCCCTCAGCATGGTGGCTCAGTGGTTAGCACAGCTGCCTTACAGTGCCAGGGACCTGGGTTTGACTCCAGATTCAGGCAACTGTTTGTGTGGAGTTTGCACATTCTCCCTGTGTCCGTGTGGGTTTCCTCCGAGTGCTCCAGTTTCCTCCCACAGTCCAAAGATGTACAGGTTAGGTGGATTGGCTGTGCTAAATTGCCCGTAGTGTGCAGGGTTATGTAAGGTAGCCATGAGAAATGCAGGGTTACAGGGATAAGGTCGGGGAGCGGGAGGTGGTGGGTTTGAGTGGGATGCTCTTCAGAAGGTCAGTGTGGACTCGATGGGCCGAATGGCCGACTTCCACACTGTGTAGGGATTCTGTGATTCCTTTGCTGAAAGTAATTCGGGCAGAGCTGATTATTTATGGTGATGGTGTGAAGTGTTAGTCCATACTTGTTAAAGATCACTGTGTTCATTGAAAGCTGCCAAAACCAGTTTTGACTGTTTACAGCACACCTCTGAAGGTAAAGTCTGACTTCCAGTGTGTCATTTCTTTATTATAGGAGAAAATTGAATCCACTCATCATTGCCTCATTTAATATGCTTTTCTTTAGCCCTTTACAAGCCTGCATTGGCCATTAAATACTCATTATGCTGACCTTAGTTCTAATAAATCCTGATGCCAAAAATTAAACTCCCTAGTATTGCAACCAGATTTTAGTGATTTATTAGTCTTGGCTATCAGTAAACAACTTGTGGGTCATTTGTTCCATGCAAAGAATGATTCTTTCCACTCTCCCTGCTTCCCAATCCTCCCTTTGTTATTATCTTAACTGTTTTGACATTCTCAAGGACATCTTTTCCAGTACTTGGCTCAGAGAAAAGTGCAGAGTTCTGTGAATTTATGTAGTAATCTACCTATAGTACTCCCTATTGCCCTCCTTTTGCAGACTGCCTTTATTAAATTGGGCAAAGCTGATGGAGGTAATGATCGAAAGGTGATCTCTAGTATAGGCAGAAATGGGGCGAGGGTTGGTCAGACTTACGAGAGCGCTTATTTGATTATAGGCCTGGTTACAGTGCTTTCATACCCGCCACTGTGCTGTCTGTGCATTGTGGCTGTAGCTTGAACTACATATAGGGTGTACTGGAGCGATTCATCAAAGTTCCTTTGTGATCCTGACAACAGGAAACCCAGAAACGATGGGATTGTGAAATCATCATCACTTCCCCATACTTCTCAACTCGGGTGCCACTCTAACTCCAACATGATCTTTCATTGATAACAAGGTGTAGAGCTGGATGAACACAGCAGGCCAAGCAGCATCAGAGGAACAGGAAGGCTGACGTTTC